TTTAGAGCCTCAGTTTCCTTCTCTGTTGAGCATTAAGGGAGATGGGGGACCAGGTGTGGTGGCTCACACCTGTAATCCTAACACTTTGGGAGTCTGGGATGGATGGATCACTTGAGTTCAGGGGTTGGAGACCAGCCTGGGAGACGTGGTAAAACCCCATCTCTACCAAAAATACAAAAATTAGCCAGGAGGGGTGGCGGGCACCTGTAATCCCAGGTACTTGGGAGGCTGAGGCAGGAGAATCACTTGAACCCAGGAGGTGGAGGTTGCAATGAGATGAGATCATGCCACTGCACTCCAGCCTGGGAGACAGAGCAAGACTCCATCTCAAAAAAAAAAAAAAGACTTGAGCAGAGGTCCTCAAACCTGAACGTGCCCCAGAATCAGCTGGGGGCTTGTTAAAACCCAGATTCCTGGGCCCCGTCCCAGCACTCTGATTCAGTAGGCCATGTGCAGTGAGGCCCAAGAATTTGCATTTCTAACAAGTTCCCAGGTGATGCGGTTGCCGCTGGATCAGGGACTGGGTTCAAATCCTGGCTCCATTTATCCGCTGTGTGACCTTAAGTAAGTCACTTACCCTCTCTGAGCTTCAGTTTCCTCACCTGTGAAATGGATGTGGTGATTGACCCTCCTCTTCATGGAGGCTGAGGATTCGCTGAGCTCCACAGTGCCTGACTTGTGGTGAGCTGTCCGTATGTGAGATCCACTGTGACGATGCCCCTGGCAGGGCATGTGTCTTGACTGTCCCCTCGCCCTCAGAGTGCGCCCCCACCCCTGTGTCCAAGTGGCCGCACTCCAGACCTGAAGGCTCTACTCAACGTGGTGGACAACGCGCGGAGTTTCATCTACGTTGCAGTCATGAACTACCTGCCCACTCTGGAGTTCTCCCACCCTCACAGGTACTGCCGGGCGTGGGGATAGGGAGCCACTGCAGGTGGCCAGGAGACAGGAGAGGGGATCATGGAGACCAGAAAGCTGGTGGGAGCTCCAGGCGAGGGGACAGATGGAAGAGAAGCCACAGGGAGGGACAGTCGCCAGGAGGTGGCTGGGAAGAAGGTATCTAGGTACTTGAGACAGGAGAGATTACGGAGGAGACAGGGATGAGGTTTCAGGATGAGGTTTGAGGAAACAGAGAAAAGGATGAGAGGGCTGCGCCCGGTGGCTCACGCCTGTAATCCCAACACTTTGAGGGGCCGAGGTGGGTGGATCACTTGAGGTCAGGAGTTCAAGACCAGCCTGGCTAACATGGTGAAATCCCATCTCTCCTAAGAATACAAAAATTAGCCGGGCATGGTGGCATGTGCTTGTAATCCCAGCTACTTGGGAGGCTGAGGCAGGAGAATTGCTTGAACCTGGGAGGTGGAGGTTGCAGTGAGTTGAGATCGCACCACTGCTCTCTAGCCAGGATGACAGAGCGAGACTCTGTCTCAAAAAAAAACAACAACAAAAAAGAGAATGCTCAGAATGTTGGGGTTGAGGGCAGGAAGCCTGAGGCAGGGGTGCAGGATGTGAGATTTGGGGAGGTAGGAGGCATGCGCTGGAAACAGGATGAGGGGTTGGGGAATGGGGGCTAAAAGTATTTGGGTTTAGAGTAGCAAGCTTGGGGATTTGTGATTCTGGGATAAGAAGGATAACAACCGTACCCACTGCAATGTCCAGGTGGATGATGGCGCTTGTGGGGCTCAAAGAAGGTATTCTAGGGGCAGTAGATAAGACAATGGGTCCAAGGCATGGTGGCTTATGCCTGTAATCCCAACACTTTGGGAGGCCGAGGTGGGAGGACCACTAGGAGTTTGAGACCAGCCTAGGCAACATAATGAGACCTCGTCTCTACAGAAAAATGTGAAGATTAGCCCAGTGCGGTGGCACTCACCTGCAGTCCCAGCTACTCAGGAGACTGAGACAGGAGGATCATTTGAGCCCAGGAGTTGGAGGCTGCACTGAGCTATGATCGTGCCACTGCACTCCAGTCTGGGTGATAGAGCAAGAACCTGTCTCAAAAAGAAAAAAAGAGGATGGACCGGGTGCAGTGACTCACGCCTGTAATCCCAGCACTTTGGGAGGCCAAGGCGAGCAGATCACCTGAGGTCGGGAGTTCGAGACCAGCCTGACAAACATGGAGAAACCCCGTCTCTACTGAAAATACAAAATTAGCTGGGCGTGGTAGCGCATGCCTGTAATCCTAGCTACCCGGGAGGCTGAGGCAGGAGAATCACTTGAACCCGGGAGGCAGAGGTTGCAGTGAGCTGAGATCGTGCCATTGCACTCCAGCCTGGGCAACAAGAGCGAAATTCCATCTCAAAAAAAAAAGAAAGAAAAAAAGAGGATGACAAGACTGGGTTTTGGAGAGCAGGAATGGGAGCCACAGCCAAAAGAGGAAATATTCCGTAGGATTTATGGAGGCAGGAACAGGGTCTGGGAGCCAGCGATGAGGAAGTCCTCTGAATAGCTAACGCTGGGCCCAGGCTTGGTTCCCCAAAGCTGAGGGCAGAGCCTGTGGAGACAGCCACCCTCTGCATCCTGCCCCACCTCCTACACACTCGTCCCCAGGTTCTGGCCTGCCATTGACGATGGGCTGCGACGGGCCGCCTATGAGCGTGGCGTCAAGGTGCGCCTGCTCGTCAGCTGCTGGGGACACTCGGAGCCATCCATGCGGGCCTTCCTGCTCTCCCTGGCTGCCCTGCGTGACAACCATACCCACTCCGACATCCAGGTGGTAAGCACCACCCCTCGGCCCCTGTGCGGGGCAGTCCTGGGGACACAGCCCTCATGGGGCTCATCTGTCAACTGACAAGGACAGCCCAGAGTAAGCCCTGTCACGGTGGGGAAACCACGGGTCAGGGCCAGGGTGGTGGGGGCACAGGGAGAGGGGCCAGGGCTGGGATGAGGGGGCACAGGCAGAGGGGCTGGGGCTGGGATGGGGGTACACAGAGAGAGGTGTTGGGACCGGGACTGGGGACGTGGGCAGGTAGAGGGGTCGGGGCTGGGATTTGGGGGCACAGGCAGAGGGGTCAGGGCTGGGATGGGGAGGCACAGGCAGAAGAGTTGGGGCCAGGGTGGGGGGCACAGAGAGAGGTGATAGGGCCAGAGTGGGAGGTACAGGCAGAGGGGTCGGGGCCAGGATGGAGGAGGCCCAGGCAGAAGGGTGAGGGCTGGAGTTGGGGGCACAGGTAGAGGGGTCAGGGCTGGGGTGGCACAGAGAAGGGTTTGGGACCAGGACTGGGAGAGTGGGCAGGTAGAGGGGTCAGGGCTGGGATCGGGGGCACAGGCAGAGGGGTCAGGGCTGGGGTCAGGGGCACAGGCAGAGGGGTCAGGGCTGGGATCGGGGGCACAGGCAGAGGGGTCAGGGCTGGGATCGGGGGGCACAAGCAGAGGGGTCAGGGCTGGGATAGAGGAGGCCCAGGCAGAGGGGTCAGGGCCCGGGGGGTGCACAGGCAGAGGGGTCAGGGCCAGGGTGGGGACACCCAGAGGAAGCCCCTGCCCTAGTGAGAAGGGCCAAGGAAGATGTTCTGGCAATGGGGGCATCTGAGACAAGACCTCAGGAATGAACAGGAGCCATTCTGTAGGGAACAGTGTTTTGCAAATGAGACCACCGGGGCCTCCCTTTCAGCTTTCATTCTCAGAGCGCCCCTCCACCTGGCCCTGTTCTGGCCCCCAGGGATTCTGTGGGAAGCAGTGGAGTCCCACAGATCTGGCTCCATGCCCCGCTCCCTGATCCCGGGGCTCCTCCGACTCCCAGTGCCTCTCACACTCCTTCCCATCCGTCCCTCCCACTCAGAAACTCTTTGTGGTCCCCGCGGATGAGGCCCAGGCTCGAATCCCGTATGCCCGTGTCAACCACAACAAGTACATGGTGACTGAACGCGCCACCTACATCGGTGAGTGTCCTGAGCACCACAGGGCACTGAACAAGAGGGGGTTCAGACACCCGGGGCAGCCCCCTGAGGGCTCCCTTACGCTCCACCCATTCCTCTCTAGGAACCTCCAACTGGTCGGGCAACTACTTCACGGAGACGGCGGGCACCTCGCTGCTGGTGATGCAGAACGGGAGGGGCAGTCTACGGAGCCAGCTGGAGGCCATTTTCCTGAGGGACTGGGACTCCCCTTACAGCCATGACCTTGATGCCTCAGCCGACAGCGTGGGCAATGCCTGCCGCCTGCTCTGAGGCCCGGTCCAGCGGACAGGCCGAGGCCTGCTAGGCCCCCACAGACCCAGATGCTCTGGGTCACGGTCCCTGTCCCCGTGCCCCCGCTTCTGTCTGCCCCATTGTGGCTCCTCAGGCTCTCTCCCCTGCTCTCCCACCTCTACCTCTGCCCCCACCGGTCTGACGCTGTGGCCCCAGGACCCAGCAGAGCTGGGGGAGGGATCAGCCCCCAAAGAAGTGGGGGTGCATGCTGGGCCCGGCCCCCTGGCCCACCCCCACTTTCCAGGGCAAAAAGGGCCCAGGGTGATAAGTAAATAACTTGTCTGTACAGCCTGTGCCTGACTGAGTGGTGTGAGATGGGGTGCAGGGGTAGGGGACAGCTGGCATGGGCCTCAGGTGGGGACATCTTTGTGCTGAGCCCTCGATATGTCACTGGCATGTACTGAGCCCTCAGTGTGTGACTAGCGTGGGTTAGCATGTACTGAGACCTCAGCATGTGCTGGCACGGGTTGGCGTGTGCTGAACCCTTAACATGTAGCGTACATGGGCTGACCTGTGCTGAGCATGCAGTGTGCCACCCTGTGGCCTGGCATGGACTTCACACTCATGTAGCCAGCACGGGGTATGTGCTGTACAGAAGCATGTTCCCAGATTGATCAGCAGGGACCAAACCATTGCTACATCCCAAGGGTGAACAAGCATGGCTGAGCACCGGAGCGTGCACCAAGTGTGAATTTAGGCCTGCCAAGTGGATTTCCACCCAGCATGTCCCAAATGCGGATGAGTGCATGCCAACCCCATAAACATGTAGGAAGGACAGGTCAACAGATAAGGAGACCCCAGCGTCTGGCAAACTTGATTAACACATACTGAACACATGCATGTTCCGAGGGTGGATTCCCAGTGTGCCAAGTACATAGCATATTTAGGACATGGGTTAGTCAACCAAGCACAGCTTTTCCCTCGTAGTGTGACAGCAGCCCAGGCTCCAGCCTAAGCCAGTGGTCAATTGGGCCCAGCATCGCAGAGGGAGTCACTGGGTGCCAGCCTGGAGCCCCCATTCCCCCCAGGGCCAGTCCAAGCCCCAGGCAGTGAGAGCAGGCTTGAAGCAGGACTGCTGAACAGTTCTATATTGAAACAGACAGAGGCAGCAGGGCCGAGGGCGGTCGCAGGGCCAGCGGGGTGCAGCCCCCCCTTCCTGCTGTCCCTCTGGCCAAGGAGCATGGGCCAGACTCCAAAGCTCTGCTGTGTTTAAGAGAAGTGTGCAGGCACGCACCGCACCGCAGACGGGGAATGGGAATTTCCAGATAACTATCTTTCTGTAAGAATAATTTGTGGGTTCGGGAGATGGCTCTGAGGAGCAGTTCAGGTTGGGAGGGGATGCCAGCTCAGCTAGCGCAGCCCTCAGTGATGGGCAGGGGTGGAATCACCATCAGTGGTGCCCGGTGACATGCTGGAGGAAACTGGTGGCCCCCCGGGGCGGACCATGCTGGTGGGAGCGGCGGGGTGGGAGCCCCTGAGCCCGTGGGCCCCTGACGCCCTCCAGGGTCCAGTCTGGCTCACTCAGCCATTCTCCGGGACAGCTGCTGGGGTCGAAGAGCTCAGGGTCTGGCCTCTGTGGGGGAAGAGGAGAGGGGCATCAGCCAAGCAGTGTTAGTGTGTTAGTGTCTGCTGAGCCTCTGTCAGCTCCGCCTGATGAGGGTGAGCACGTGCTAGGGTCTTACCAGTGCTAGGCCTTTATCACCTCTTTGCAGTGATGCGATGACAGCTCACTGCAGCCTCGACCTCCCTGGCTCAAGTGATCCTCCCACCTCAGCCTCCTGAGTAGCTGGGACTACAGATGCATGCCACCAAAACCAGCTAATATTTCTAATTCTTTGGTACAGACGGGATCTCACTATGTTGCCCAGGCTCTTTATCACTTCTTATAAGTAGATTACTGTGCCCTGAGTTTTTGTCACAGCCTGGAAATAGCTGAGTATGTGCTGAGCCTTACCATATCTTGGCAGTATTAGGTGTGTACTGAGCCTCTCACACCCTAATCATATCCTGAACGTGGGTAAGTGTGTGCTGAGCCTCCTCACACCCCAATCGTAACCTGAGCATGGGTGAGTGTGTGCTGAGCCTCTTCACACCCTAATCATATCCTGCATGAGCCTCCTCACATCCTAATCTTATCCTAAGGTGGGTGAGTGTGTGCTGAGCCTCCTCACACCCTAATCGTATCCTAAATGCACCCGGCTCACCTCAGCCTCCATGGTCATGTTGTCAGTGTTGGGCCCATCCCCATCTCGCTGCAGGATGGCCGGTGGCTCAGCAGAGGCCCCGAGATGCTCTCCTTCCTCCCAGCTGCTGCCCCGGCAGGGCCTGTCATCCTCAGGCGAGACCTGGCTCAGCCGGATGAGGTTGCTGAAGTTGGAGTCGGATTTGGAACCCGCAGGTGGCTTGCGGGCCTTGTGGCGGCCTGCCAGGCGGCTGCTATAGAAGGCCAGGATGGGCTCGGGGCCTGAGTCGGGCATGTGGCGGCCAGTGATGGCTGCCTTGAGGGGGGCCATCATGTCGGAGACCACATCGGTGCAGGTCTCACCCCACAGCCCATGCCCAGCCTCCTGCAGACTCAGGTCGTCCAGCTGGTCGATGGCTCTTTGCATACCTGGTGCCTTCTCCTCTCGGAAGAAGGGGCTGCTGCTGGCCACACTGCCCATGCCCGCAGCCTCCTTCTCCTCAGCCAGACGGTAGTAGGGGGTCCCATCTTCTGCAGCCACGACAGGCGCGGGGGGCTTGCCCTCCACCTGCAGCGAGAGGCGGTAGCTGCGCAGCGAGAGCTGGTAGTAGTGGGTGGTCTCGTGGGCATTGCGCAGCTGCTGCATGGACACGAAGGGGTGGCGCAGGGCAGCACTGGGGCTGATGCGTTCATGTGATTCCCAGGTCAGCATGCGTTTGATCAGCTCCACCATGCTCTTGAGGTCGGCGTGCTCTGCCAGTGCCTCCCGGTCGGGGAAGGTCAGCCGACTGGCCACACTGCCACCATTCACTGTCTCGATCTGGTCCAAGGACTTAAGCATATACTTGCGGCGCTCCAGTGGGCGCACCTGGCGGGGCATGGAGAAGGGAGCAAGGTTGACCCTTGTGCAGGGCTAGGGCCCTGAGCACTCCTGCTGTGGCACCCACATGTAGCCCCAACTTCCAGGTCTGCCCATGATCTGTCTTGGAGCTCTCTGGCTGCTAGGAGGGCCACCCTGGATCCGTCACACCCAAGCCCCTCTAATCTAACCCAAAGCTTTCACTGGTCCAAGTTCCACCCCTTGCCCCAGACCTCCAGTCCACCCCAGCACCATGGGTGCAGCCCCTACCAGCAGCTAGCAGAGGGGCTGCCCGGAATCTCTAGTCCTCCCTGGAATCAAATCCAGGTCCCTCTTACTGCCACAGCTCCACGCTTGATCCCAGGCCTCCTGGTGGTGGAACCCAGACCCTTCTTGCTACACTAGTTTATGGAACTAGTTCCCTGCTATGGAACTGCCATCAACTTTTAGTCTCATCTGTGGTCCCATCCAGACCCTTCTTGCTGTGAAATCAGGACTTGTGACCTCAAACTCCTAGTCCCAGGCTCTTGCTGCACAGATTGGAGGGGCAAAGCCGTAGAGGTAGCAGACTGGCTGCTGCCCCAAACCTCTAGACTCACCTGAGGTCTCACTCAGAAATTTTTTTTTTTTTTTTTTTTTTTTTGAGACAGATTTTCACTCTTGTCATCCAGGCTGGAGTGCAATGGCACAATCTCGGCTCACTGCAACCTCTGCCTCCCAACTTCAAGCGATTCTCCTGCCTCAGCCTCCCAAGCAGCTGGAATTACAGGTGTCCACCACGATGCCCAGCTAATTTTTGTATTTTTAGTAGAGACAGAGTTTCACCATGTTGGCCAGGCTGGTCTCAGACTCCTAACCTCAGGTGATCCACCCGCCTTGGCCTCCCAAAATGCTGGGATTATTATAGGTGTGAGCCACTGCGCCTGGCCTCAGATCCTTTTTTTTTAAACAGGATCTTGCTCTGTCACCCAGACTGGAGTGTAGTGGTGCAATCGCAGCTCACTGCAACCACCAACTCCTGGGTTCAAGTGATCTTCCCACCTCAGCCTCCCAAGTAGCTTGGAACTACAGGTGTGTGCCACCACGCCTGGCTAAATTAAAAAAATTTTTTTTCTAGAGACGCAGTCTTGCTATGTCACCCAGAATGGCTTCAAGCGATCCTCCTGCCTTGGCCCCACCAAAGTGCTCAGACTGCAGGTATAAGCCATTGCACCTGGCCTCTTTTGCAATTCTCACAGCCAGTCTCAGTCCTCATTTTTTCTCCGTGGTCTCATCCCTCTTGCTACACAAGTTGCTGACCCCAGAGCTGAAGCTGGCAGAGAAGCCGCCCCAATCTTCCTGTCACACTTGTAGTATGACCCAGATCCCTCTTGCTAGAGCAGCCTTCACATCTGACTTCCAAACATCCAATTCTCCCTGCAGTGTCTCCCCCAGATCTATCTTGCTGCAGCAGCTGAGTCCCACATTTGATCTCACCCAGCTCTTTCTTGCTGTGAAAATGCCCTAGGCTGACCCCCAAGCTCCAGTTCTCACTGAGATTCAGCCCAGAAATAATTTTTTTCAAATATTAAAAAAAATATTTTTTTGGCTGGGCGCAGTGGCTCATGCCTGTAATCCCACCGCTTTGGGAGGCCAAGGCGGGTGAATCATGAGGTCAGGTATTTGAGACCAGCCTGGCCAACATGGTAAAACCCCATCTCTACTAAAAATACAAAAAATTAGCCAGGTGTGATGGCGAGTGCCTGTAGTCCCAGCTACTCGGGAAGCTCAGGCAGAAGAATCCCTTAAACCCGGGAGGCAGAGGTTGCAGTTAGCCGAGACTACGCCACTGCACTCCAGCCTGGGCAACAGATCGAGACTCCCTCTCAAAAAAAAAAAAAAAGCCGGGCGCGGTGGCTCACGCCTGTAATCCCAGCACTTTGGGAGGCCGAGGTGGGCGGATCACGAGGTCAGGAGATAGAGACCATCCTGGCTAACACGGTGAAACCCCATCTCTACTAAAAATGCAAAAAATTAGCCGGGCGAGGCGGCGGGCGCCTGTAGTCCCAGCTACTCGGGAGGCTGAGGCAGGAGAATGGCGTGAACCCGGGAGGCGGAGCTTGCAGTGAGCCGAGATCGCGCCATTGCACTCCAGCCTGGGCGACTAAGCGAGACTCTGTCTCAAAAAAAAAAAAAAAAAAAAAAAAGAAGAAAAAATTTCTTTTATTTTGTTTTTTATTCTTTTCACTCCATTCTTCTGGTCTGATAGATTTTTCTTTTATTTTTCTTTTTGAAACAGGGTCTTGCTCTATCACCCAGGCTCAAGTGCAGTGGCATGACCACAGCTCACTGTAGCCTGGATCTCCCAGGCTCAAGGAATTCTGCCTCAGCCTCCCATGTATCTGGGACAATATGCCCATACCACCACGTCCAGCTAATTTTTTTTTTCCACGTTTTATAAAGAGGAGGTCTCACTATGTTCCCTAGGCTAGTCTCAAACCCCTGGGCTCAAGGGGTCCTCCCACCACAGCCTCCCAAAGTGCTAGAATTACAGGTGTGAGCCACGTCGCCCATCCTAGATTTTTTTTCATGTAACAGCCCCCACACTGACTGCCCTCACCCAACTTCTCCCTTACCTTCGTCTCGGCCAGGTAGTCAGCCGAGGACTTGAGCTGCCAGGGGTTGGCGGCGTCAGGGTGGGGGTTGCGCTTAAAGAAGTGGTGGGCCTTGCGGGCGGCGTGCAGCAGGTGCGGCTTGGGGAGGCCCTGGGTTTCGCAGATGTAGCGCACCTGGTCGTACTCGTTGTTGCCGGGGTAGAGGGGCCAGCCCAGGTGCAGCTCAGCCATGACACAGCCCAGGGACCACACGTCCACCTTCTCGCAGAAGGGCAGCCCCAGCAGGATCTCGGGGGCCCGGTAGAAGCGCGACTGGATGTATGGCTCCTTCACGTAGCGCACCTCGCTGAAAATGCTGGCAGAGCCGAAGTCAATCACCTGTCGGGTGGAAAAGAGGGCGAGTGGGCAGGTCAAGTGCAGGGACAGCCCAGCCGGGCCACCCCCGGCATCTCTCACCTGGCATATTCCTGCATCTGCTATTTGACTCTGGCCGTCTCTGGGTCTGTGACTCTTTAGCCGCTTTGTTGGTTTTTGTTTGTTTGAGACAGAGTCTGGCTCTTGTTGCCCAGTCTGGAGCGCAATGGCACTATCTCAGCACACTGCAACCTCCACTTCCCCGGTTCAAGCGATTCTCATGCCTCAGTCTCCTGAGTAGCTGGGATTACAGGCGCCCGCCCCCACGCCTGGCTAATTTTTTGTATTTTTAGTAGAGTTGGGATTTCACTATGTTGGCGAGGCTGGTCTCGAACTCCCGACCTCAGGTGACCCACACGCCTCGAACTCCCAAAGTGCTGGGACTACAGGCGTGAGCCACTGCGCCCAGCCTTTGTTGTTGTTTTTTGTTTGTTTGTTTGTTTGTTTGTTTTTTGAGACCAAGTGCCACTCTGTTGCCCAGGTTGGAGTATAGTGGCACAATGTAGGCTCACTGCAACCTCTACCTCCTGGGTTCAAGTGATTCTCCTGCCTCAGCCTCCCAGTAGCTGGGTCTACAGGTGCACACCACCATGCCCTGCTAATTTTTGTATTTTTAGTAGAGACGGGGTTTCACCATGTTGGCCAGACTGGTCTCGAACTCCTGACCTCAGATGATCCACCCGCCTCAGCCTCCCTAGCTGGAATTACAGGCATGAGCCACCTCACTCAGCTGTGGTCATAGTTCTTAAGTCGCTATCTCTGTCTCTTCCAGTCTTTGTGTCTGGTTCAAGTGACTGACTCTGTCTCTGTTTCTCTCCACTAGAACTATGCATAGGAGGATTAGGACCCTACTCTTCCTCTTGTACCCCACACCTTGTCCATCAGCCAACAGATCTAGAATCTGCTCGCTCTGCATGCCATCCACAGCCCCCACCCTGGTCCTATCCCACATCCTCTCCAACCTAGACTGACACAGGGGCCTCCTCGCTGGTCTCCCTGCTCCTCTCCTCTGCCCCCTAGTCTGTCTCTCACAAACATCCAGGGGGATCCTGTGGTCGCCTGGGATAGATTGGGTCCTCCCCTGCTCACAGTCACATCCTGTGACAAAAGCCAAGGTCCTCACCGTGGCCCACAGGTCTCCAACGTCTGCTCTGTCACCTCTCTGCCACATCTCCCACTCTCCCCGTCACTCACCCTCCTCCAGCCACAAGGGCCTCCTCACTATTCCTTGAATAAATCAGACATTCCCAGCTCAGGGTTTTGCACTGGCTGTTCCTTCTGTCTGAAATGCTCTTCCCTGCATGAGCACAGGGCTCCCTGCCTCACCTCCTTCAGGTCTTTACTCAAATGTCACGTTTCTATCAAAAGCAGAAAGGGAGGATAAAAAAAAATGATCACCTTCTCAGTGAGGCTTCCCCTAATCATTCTGTTAAAGCATCAGCCCCCACCCTTCCTATCCCTCTGCCAGGCCCCTGTTTTTCCTTTTATCTTTTTTTTTTTTTTTTTTGAGATGAAGATTTTTGAGACAGAGTTTTGCTCATCGCCCAGGCTGGAATGCAATGGTGCAATCTTGGCTCACCGCAACCTCCGCCTCCCAGGTTCAAGTGATTCTCCTGCCTCAGCCTCCCAAGTAGCTGGGATTACATGCGCTTGCCACCACGCTCAGCTAATTTTTACATTTTTAGTAGACACGGGGTTTCGCCATGATGGCCAGGTTGGTCTCAAACTCCTGACCGCAGGTGATCCACTCGCCTCGGCCTCCCAAAGTGCTGGGATTACAGTCGTGAGCCACCGCACCCAGCCCCACCATCGCTCTTAATGCCATTTCACACACTATATCTTTTAATTTTTTATTTTTATTTTATTTTATTTTATTTTATTTATTTTATTTTTTTTTTTTTGAGACGGAGTCTCGCTCTGTCGCCCAGGCTGGAGTGCAGTGGCCGGATCTCAGCTCACTGCAAGCTCCGCCTCCCGGGTTCGGGCCATTCTCCTGCCTCAGCCTCCCAAGTAGCTGGGACTACAGGCGCCCGCCACCTCGCCCGGCTAGTTTTTTGTATTTTTTAGTAGAGACGGGGTTTCACCGTGTTAGCCAGGATGGTCTCGATCTTCTGACCTAGTGATCCACCCGTCTCGGCCTCCCAAAGTACTGGGATTACAGGCTTGAGCCACCGCGCCCGGCCTTAATTTTATTTTTAATTATTTATTTTTTGTGATGGAGTCTCGCTCTGTCGGCCAGACTGGAGAGCAGTGGTGTGATCTTGGCTCACTGCAACCTCCACCTACTGGGTTCAAGCGATTCTCCTGCCTCAGCCTCCGAGTCACTGGAATTACAAGCACTAATCTTTTGCATTTTTGGTAGAGATGGGCGGGGTTTCACCATGTTAGCCAGGCTGGTCTCAAACTCCTGACTCAGGTGATCTGCCTGCCTCGGCCTCCCAGAGTGTTGGGATTACAGGCGTGAGACACTGCACCCAGCCCTTTTTTTTCTTTTTAGAGACAGGGTCTTGCTTTATCACCCAGGCTGGAGTGCAGTGACTCCACCATAGCTCACTGCTGCTGCGAACTCCAGGGCTCGTGAGATCCTCCCACCTCAGACTCCTGAGTAGCTGGGACCGCAGGCACACACCACCATACCCAGCTAATTTTTTAACTTTTTGTAGAGATAGAGATGGGTCTCACTATGTTGCCCAGGATGGTCTTAAGCTCCTGGGCTCAAGTGATCCTCCTGCCTCAGCCTCCCAACATGCTGGGATTATAGGCATGAGGCCCCGCACCTGGCCCTAGTCTACTTCCTTATCAAGTTCAGCATTTCTCTCCCCAGCTAGGATGTCAGTCCCACGAGGGCAAAGATTATATCCACTTTGTTCAATACCGTATCCCTAGATGCCTAGAACAGTACCTGGCACACAGCAGGGGCTCAGTAAATAATGAGTGAATGAATGAATGAATGAATGGGCTTTGTGATCCTTCATTCTATTTCCATCTCTTGTTTGTATCTCTCTGTCTCTCTTCTGAGACAGTGGCTCACCCTGTCACCCAGGCTGAAGTACAGTCGCGCGATCTCGGCTCAAGGCAACCTCCACCTTCCAGGTTCAAGCGATTCTCCTGCCTCAGCCTCCCAAGTGGCTGGGACTACAGGCACATGCCACCATGCCCGGCTAATTTTTGTATTTTCAGTAGAGATGGGTTTTCACCATGTTACCCAGGCTGGTCTTGAACTCCTAGGCTCCAGCAATCCTCCCACCTCGGCCTCCCAAAGTCCTGAGATTCCAGGCATGAGCCACTGTGCCTGGCCATTTGTACCTCTCTTGTTCTTTCTTTGCATCTACCTCTCCATCACTTGCCTGTCTCTTGTCTCTCAGTGTCTCTCTCTCTTTCCATCTCTGTCTCTGTGTCGTCCACTAGGAAGACACCTCCCTGAAGTCCAGGTCCTCTTCTGTCTTCCTCATCAGGCACTGTTCACACCTGTCACAGGCCTTTGGCACATGACAGGTGCTTTGACCAACAGCTGCAGAACCAACACCGCGAATCGCCCAAAGCCTTTGTATCTCCCCATGCCTCTGGTGGAGCTGTCTGCCATTTTCACTCTGAATCTCCGTGACTCTCTCTTGGCCTAAGTTTCTTTTTCTTTTTCAGATGGTTTCACTCTTTTGTCCAAGCTGGAGTGCAGTGGCGTGATCTCGGCTCACTGCAACCTCCACCCCAACCCGGGTTCAAGCGATTGTCCTGCATCAGCCTCCCAAGTAGCTGGGATTACAGGTGCACCCCACCACACCTGGCTAATTTTTGTATTTTTAGTAGAGACGGGATTTCACCATGTTGGACAGGCTAATCTTGAACTTCTGACCTCAGTTGATCCACCTGCCCTAGCCTCCCAAAGTGCTGGGATTACAGGCTCAGGCCACCACACCTGGCCAGCCTCAGTTTCCTTCTCTGAGTTTTTCTGCCTTTCATTCAGCCATTTCTCTTTTTTTTTTTTTTTTTTTTTTTTTGGTGAGACAGAGTTGAGCTCTGTCGCCCAGGCTGGAGTGCAGTGGCGTGATCTCAGCTCACTGCAAAACCTCTGCCTCCCATGTTCAAGTGAGTCTCCTGCCTCTGCCCCCCAATTAACTGGGATTCCAGGGTATGTGCCACCATGCCTGGCTAATTTTCTTTTTTTTTTTTTTCTGAGACAGAGGGACTTCCTCTGTCGCCCAGGGTGGAGTGCAGTGGCGTATCCTCGGCTCACTGCAACCTCCGCCTCCCAGGTTCAAGTGATTCTCCTGCCTCAGCCTCTGGAATAGCTGGGACTACAGGCACCCGCCGCCACGCCCGGCTAATTTTTATACTTTTAGCAGAGACGAGGTTTCACCATATTGGTCAGGCTGGTCTTGAACTCCTGACCTCAGGTGATCCACCCGCCTCGGCCTCCCACAAGTGTTGGGATTACAGGCATGAGCCACCGCCCAGCCATCTCTCACCTTTTACTTGCAGAAAGCAGTATCATGAAATGGTTATTAATTGCAGTTCTGATCCCAGAGTGCCAGGGTGTCAGTACCCAAGAGGCTAAGTGACCGTGGGTACTTAATCCATATTTATGGAATTCATTCATTCATTCATTCATTCCACAGAGACAGTGGGGGTGATAATGCTGGTCAGGTGCTGTGGATCTGTCCTTTCTGTCCCCTGCTGTGTTTGTAGAAGTCCCTGCTTCCCTGGGTCTCTGTCCTTCCACCTCTTGGGGCAGAATAATCCACCTTTTTCTGTCTCTGTGTCTCTGTATCTCTGGCAAGCATTCATTTAGCACTGGCTCCATGACTGCAGTGCTGGGAGATGTCAGGGAGACAGTGATGACTAAGTCAGCCCCAGCCTTGCCCTCAGGGTGCCCCTGGTTCAGACCCATCCAGACAGTATCAAACTCAAAAGCAGACAGAGGACTGGGCGTGGTGGCGCACACTTGTAATTCTAGCACTTTGGGAGGCCAAGGTGGGCAGATTGCTTGAGCTCAGGACTTTGAGACCAGCCTGGGCAACATGATGAAATCCCATTTCTACCAAAAAATACAAAAGTTGGCCAGGCGCGGTGGTCACGCCTGTAATCCCAGCACTTTGGGAGGCTGAGGTGGGTGGATCACCTGAGGTCAGGAGTTCGAGACCAGCCTGACCAACATGGTAAAACCCCGTCTCTACTAAAAATACAAAAATTAGCCAGGTGTGGTGGCAGATGCCTGTAATCCCAGCTACTTGGGAGGCTGAGGCAGGAGAATTGCTTGAATGTGGGAGGCGGAGGTTGCAGTGAGCTGAGATTGTGCCACTGCACTCCCCCCTGGGTAACAAGAGTGGAACTCCGTCTCAAAAAAAAAAAAAAAATGTTAGCTGGGTATGGGTGGCGGGCACCTGTAATCCCAGCTACTCAGGAGGCTGAGGCAGGAGAATCACTTGAACCTGGGAGGCAGAGGCAGTGGGCCAAGATCATGCCATTGCACTCTAGCCTGGGTGACAAGAGCAAGAGCAAGACTCCATCTCAAAAAAGAAAAAAAAAAAAAACAAAAATTAGCTAGGCATGGTGGTGCATGCCTGTAGTCCCAGCTCCTCGGGAGGCTGGGGCAGGAGGATCACTTGAGCCCAGGAGGCGGAGGTTGCAGTGAGCCGAGAAGGTGCCATGGCACTGCAGCCTGGGCGAAAGAGCCAGACCCTGTCTCAAAAAAAAAAAAAAAAAAGCGGACAGAGGAGTCAGCACCAGGGGCCTGTGACAGTACGGAGGAGATGCCTGTGTGTGTCCAGCACAAGGCCAGACCCAAAGCAGGCATTCAGTAAATGTTTATTCATCGACAAACTGACCATGATGAGTAATACACATGCTTCCAGTTGCTCGACCAACAGGCTTTTGTCCCCCTCTACTCCTCTCTCGCTGTCACCCTTCATGTAAGATCTATCAACAAATCCTCTTGTCTCTAGCTCCAAAATCTACCCAGAATCCACCCAAGTCTCCTGCTCCCACTGCCCTGACTCTGGTCCCAATCACCACGTCTCCCACCTGGACTAGCACAGTCACCCCTCTGCCTTCCTGCTCCTGCCCAACCCACCCCTGTCTGCTCCCCTTATGCAGCCAGAGAAACAAGGCTTAGGCTTGTTTCTCTGAGTCAGACCGAGTCCTCCTCTGCTTAGATTCCTCCTGTGGCTCCATCTTCCTCGGAATAAAACCAAAGTCCACCAACAAGGCCCTGCATGCCTGGCCCCATCACCTCCTTGGACTCATTTTTTCCCTCTTCACCTCATTCATTCTGCTTCAGCCACACAGGCCTCCCCGGTGTTCTTCAAATGCATACAATTGGCACACTCCTTGATATGGTTTGGCTCTGTGTCCCTGCCCAAACCTCATCTCTAAATGTCACCGAAGGAACCTGGTGGGAGGTGATTGGGTCCTGAAGGCAGTTTCCCCTATGCTGTTCTCATGATAGTGAGTTCTCATGAGATCTGATGGTTTAAAAGTGGCAGCTTCTCCTGCACGCTCTCTCTCCTGCCACCATGTAAGACATGCCTTGCTTCCCCTTCACCTTCCACCATGATTGTAAGTTTCCTGAGTCCTCTCTAGCCATGAGGAACTGTGAGTCAATTAAACCTTTTCTTTATTTATAAATTACCCAATCTCAGGTAGTTTGTTTGTTTGTTGGTTGGTTTGCTTTTGAGATGGAGTCTCACTCTGTTGCCCAGGCTAGAGGGCAGTGGCACCATCTTGGCTCACTGCAACCTCCACCTCTGTGTTCAAGTGATTCTCCTGTCTCAGCCTCCCGAGTAGCTGGGACTACAGACGTGTGCCACCATGCCCAACTAATTTTTGTATTGTTAGTAAAGATGGGGTTTCACCATGTTAGCCAGGCTGGTCTCGAACCCCTGACCTCAAGTGATCCACCCACCTTGGCCTCCCAAAGTGCTGGAATTATAGGTGTGAGCCACTGTGCCCAGCCTACAGGTAGTTCTTTATAGTAGCATGAGAACAGACTCCTACCTCAGGGCCTTTGCACTGGCTGTTCCCTCTGCCTGGATGCTCTCTCTCCAGATGGCTACACAGCTTTCTCCCTCCTTCAGGATTTCCCTCAAAGTTACCTTCTCAGTGAGGCCTAGCTGACCACCATGTCTAAAAGCTCACTCAGCACCACCCATCTCTATGAACACCCAGCATCCACTTCCTCCCTGCTTCTCACTTGCTTATCATATTTCACTCATTTATCTTGGTGACCCTCTGTCTCCCACTAGAATGTCAGCCCCACAAGGACAGGACCAGGCCAGAGAAGCTGAGCTGAGAATGGAGCAGGACAGGGAGACCTCAGGGCCTGGAAGGGAACAGGGGAGACCTCAGGTCTGGGACAGAGAAGACATCAGAATTGGGACAAGAAGATGGGGAGGATTTGGGGGCCAGGAGCAAGGCAGAGCAGAGCCGTTATGGACAGGGCCTTGGGAAGACCTCAGGCCCCAGAGGTAGACAAGAGAAATCTTAGTGTCTGAAGAGACTGGGCACAGTGCCTCCTGCCTGTAATCTCAGTGCTTTGGGAAGCTGAGGCAGGAGGATTGCTTGAGCCCAGGAGTTCAAGACCAGCCTGGACAACATAGCAAGGCCTCGTTTCTACAAAAAAAAAAAAAAAAAAAAAAATTTAATTTGCCAGGCACAGTGGTGTGTGCTTATAGTCCCAGCTAATTGGAAGGCTGAAGTGGGAGGATCGCTTGAGCTCAGGAGTTTAAGGCTGCAGTGAGCTATGATTGTACCACTGCACTCCAGCCTGGGCAACAGAGCAAGACCTTGTCTCTGAAACTAAATAAATAAATACCTTAAATTTTTAAAAAGTAGGCTGGGCACAGTGGCTCACGCCTGTAATCCCAGCACTTTTGGAGGCCGAGGTGGGTGGATCATTTGAGGTCAGGAGTTCGAGACCAGCCTGGCCAGCATGGTGAAACCCCATCTCCAATAAGTACAAAAAAAATTAGCTGGGCAGCATGGTGGCGCATCCCTGTAATCCCAGTTACTCGGGAGGCTGAGGCAGGAGAATCACTTGAACCCATTTGAACCCAGGAGGCAGAGGTTGCAGTGAGCTGAGATTGTGCCACTGCACTCAAGCCTGGGCAACAGAATGAAAGTCCGTCACACACACACACACACACACACACACACACACACACACACACACCCCATCCAGGGCTGGAAGAAGCTGAGAAAAAGACAAGGAACTAGGGACACAGCCACCCTAGACGGCCCCTACTCACCTTGACCCTGAAGGGGCAGCGGGTCTGGTCCACCAGCATGATATTCTCAGGCTTGAGATCAGCGTGGATGATTGCCAGCTCCTTGAGCCGGGCCAGGGCTCTGAGCACCTGCAGGGTGACTGTACGGATGTGGCGGGCAGGGAGGGGCGCGAAGTTGTTCTCCTTCTGGAACTCAAAAAGGTTTTGCTCCAGCAGCTCGAAGACCAGGTAGAACTTGAGGGCGTCGTGGAAGAACTCGAGGAAGCGGATGACGTGGGCCTCCTCAGGGTCCAGGCCTCGCATGCAGTGCAGCAGCTTCAGCTCATTCTTGATGATGCGGTTGCGGTAGGCGTCGTTCTTGAGGATCTTGATGGCCACCATCTCCCCCGTGCTCCGCCGCCAGCCCTTGGCTACCTCCCCGAAGGTCCCCTTGCCCAAGACCTCGATGATGTCGTAGCAGTCGGTCTCTGACTGGATGGTAGCCATGGTGCCCCCGCTGCCAGACACCGCCCTGCCCAGGCCCCTGCGCCACTGGCTCTGCCGCCCAGGCCTCCCGCCTGGCCGCCGACACAGCAGGCCCCCCAGTGGGGGAAAGAGAACCGCACTCGTGCCTCCTCCTACGAGGTTGGCCCCTGCTTCCTTGGCACCCCCAAATCCCCAGGCCACACTGTCAGTCTGCCAGGGGCTGCGCCCCTCCCCAAAAGCCCTCCTGGCTTGGGATGAGGGGCCCCAGGCCCCACTGAATGGGTTCCAGCGCTGTTGAGTGGCTCTGGTTCTGTTGTTGGAGACCTGAGCCCTAGCTGGAGTGGGGGTGGGGTGCCAGGCTGGGCCCCCCCTCCCCCGCCCAGTCGTGGAACCTTGCAAAGACCAAACAGGTGAAGTGTTGACAGAGGGGAGTCTAATCGTGGGCCTTGGTCATACAGGAATGGGTATAAGGCAGGAGTGAGGAAAGGTGGGCTTCTTGAGCTTGGGAGATGTGATGTGTGGGTGTCTGTGTTCAGAAAACTCCTGTCCCAGCCTGTGACTGCTGTGGCATGAGGGATAAAAGGCCCTGAATGCCAGGCTAAGGAGTTTGGACTCTGTTCTGAGGGCACTGGGGAGCCACAGAAGGGCTTTGAGCAGGGGAGGACAGGGTCAGATATGAGTGTCAGAAAGTTACTGTATGAAAAAGGATAGGTTGGAGCGGGTAACAGTGGAAGCCCCAAGCCAGGGAAAGAGTCCAGGACAGGGCACAGATGGGAGAGGTTAGGGAGGGCAGGGCGAGGCCAGTGAATGAGACACTCCCAAGGCCAGAAGGAGCAGCCGTGAGACTGACAGGTTGGGGGAAAGGCGGGAGCTGTCTAAGACCAGGCCCAAGGCTCTGACATGCAGAGGCAGTCCCTGAGAAATGGACATGGATAAGGAGCAGCTTGGGGGAGATGTTGAGGCCAAATTAGAAAATGTATTTATTTTTGGCTGGGTGCGGTGGGTCACACCTGTAATCCCAGCACTTTGGGAGGCTGAGGAGGGCGGATCATGAGGTCAGGAGATCGAGACCATCCTGGCTAACATGGTGAAACCCTGTCTGTACTAAAAATACTAAAAATTAGCCGGGCATAGTGGTGGGTGCCTGTAGTCCCAGCTACTCGGGAGGCTGAGGCAGAAGAACAGCTTGAACCCAGGAGGTGGAGATTGCAGTGAGCCGAGATCGCACCACTGCACTCCAGCCTGGGTGACAGAGCAAGACTCAGTTTCAAAAAAAAAAAAAAAAAAGTGTTTATTTTTATTTATCTTTTAATTTTTTGTAGAAATGGGGTCTCACCATGTTGTCCAGGCTGGTCTCAAATGATCCTCCTGGCCTCAAGTGATCCTCCTGCCTCAACCTTCCAAAGTGCTGGGATTGTAGGCATGAGCCACCACTCCAGCCAAATTAGAATATTTAACACTGGGCCGGGCTCAAGTGGCTCATGCCTGTAATCCCAGCACTTTGGGAGGCTGAGGCAGGTGGATCACCTGAGGTCGGGAGTTCCAGACCAGCCTGACCAACATGGAGAAACCCCGTCTCTACTAAAAATACAAAATTAGCCAGGTGTGGTGGCGCATGCCTGTAGTCCCAGCTACTCAGGAGGCTGAGGCAGGAGAATCGCTTTAACCCCGGAGGTGGAGGTTGCGGTGAGCCAAGATCGCGCCATTGCACTCCAGCCTGGGCAACAAGAGGGAAACTCCGTCTCAAAAAAAAAAAGTAAAAGAAAACTTAACATCAAAACATTTAAACAAGGATGAAGTGCTTTAGAAGTCTTATCTGATCCTTACAACATACAAAGTAGGGATTTTATGGAAGAGAAAATCAAAGTACAAAGAAGTTTTTTTTTTTTTTTTTTTTGAGACGGAGTCTCGCTCTGTCGCCCAGGCTGGAGTGCAGTGGCCGGATCTCAGCTCACTGCAAGCTCCGCCTCCCGGGTTCACGCCATTCTCCTGCCTCAGCCTCCCGAGTAGCTGGGACTACAGGCGCCCGCCACCTCGCCCGGCTAGTTTTTTGTATTTTTTAGTAGAGACGGAGTTTCACCGGGTTAGCCAGGATGGTCTCGATCTCCTGACCTCATGATCCGCCCGTCTCGGCCTCCCAAAGTGCTGGGATTACAGGCTTGAGCCACCGCGCCCGGCCTAGAAGTTTTTAAAGTGCCTGGCCAGGAGCGGTGGCTCACGCCTGTAATCCCAGCACTTTGAGAGACCAAGGTGGGCAGATCACCCGAGGTCAAGAGTTTGAGACCAGCCTGGCTAACATGACGAAACCCCATCTCCACTAAAAATACAAAAATTAGCTGAGCGTGGTGGTGCACACCTGTAGTCCCAGCTACTCTGGAGGCTGATGTCAGGAGGCTGAGGTATGAGAATCGCTTGAACCTGGGAGGCGGAGGTTGCAGCGAGCCAAGATTGCACCACTGCACTCCAGCATGGGCGACAGAGTGAGACTCTGTCTCAAAAAGTTAAAATAAATACATAAAAAATAAAATAAAATGCCTAAGGTCACCCAAGTGACTGCCAGAAACAGCCTCTGACCCTGAGCAGCCTGGTTCCAGCACCAAGCTCTGAACCACCACCCACACACCCTCCTAAAGACCGGGAGACCTCCCGGGAAGGCGTGCAGAAGCTGCTGGGTCCCCAAAGGGATGCAGGAGAGAGTCTGGGAGTTGTCAGCACAGAGAGGAGGCGTAGAAGCCATTGGGGGGGGGTGGTGACGCACCCCAGGGAGGGTGTGGGGGCGGACAAGGGCCCGGGAGGAACCTCGAGTGCCCAGGGAGCACGGGGAGAGAGAGGTGTGGGGAAGAGAGGAGCAGGTGTCAGGAAGATCGAAGGGGCCTTGAAGAGTCAGGACAAGAGAGACAAAGGAAACCCCCAGGCATGGCCACGGGGAGGTCACTGCTGACACAGACAAGGTAGGAGGAAAATCCCAAATGTTGGGATCTTGGAAATGGGTGTGCACCATGAGCGTAGATAACTCCCGCCATATTTGGTGGGAGCAAAGGAGAAGTGTGTGGTGAGACAGTGACCCGAGGAGGGCCGGCTTGAAGGGACAAGGTACTCAAGTGAGTGGGGGATTCTGCCAGGCCCCTCATCCAATGAGACAGGATAGGGAGATGTGACGAGAGTGGGGGGCTGTCGGGGTGAGACTCAGGACTGGATGTTGAGTCTCCTTAGTCCAGTGTGGGACATCAGAGAGAGGACGTGGAGGAGGCTGGAGGCCCTGGTGGGAGCCTGGGGACTTAGATCCTGAATTGGGATGACAGGGATGGATGGCCCATGGTCCCTGGGAGCTGAGACCAGCACTGACGGGTGCTGAGGACCCTGGGACCTAGTTCCAAGAGGCGGCTGTGTGTTTGGGGCAGAGGCTTTGAACCCAGATCCTGAAGAGGGGAGCAGGAGCCGCCTTCCTGGGTGGGGCCAGAGTGGACAAGGCAGTCAAACCAGCCAGACAGCAAACAGAAGGCCAGGATGTGCAGAAGTGCCCACGCTGGCAGAGGGCAGGTGGGGAGCAACCAGCCTGGTAGGAGTGGGTCCCCCAGGACAGGCAGGCTCCCTGGCAGAGGGGTCCCGAAGCTGTGCTCTGCCAGGGAATGTCCCAGAGTCCTCTTTAACAACCCCTGGGAATTCTCAAGGGCTAGGGACGTCTCCCCTCCCACCAGGGCCTGCCCCAAGGCCACCCTGACTCTTTGTTGTTGTTTTTGTTGAAACAGAGTCTGGCTCTGTTGCCCAGGCTGGAGTGCAGGGGCGCCATCATGGTTCACTGCAGCCTCGACCTCCCGGGCTCAAGTGATCCTCCTACCTCAGCCTCCTGACTAGCTGGGATTACAGGCACAGGCCATCATGCCTGGCTATTTTTTGTAGAGATGAGGTTTCTCTGTGTTTGCTGGTCTTAAACTCCTAGGCTCAAGCAATCCTCCTGCTTTGGCCTCCCAAGTGCTGGGATTACAGGTGTGAGCCACTGCGCCCAACCCGCCCTGACTCTTCTCAGACCAGGTATGACCTGTTTTTCCCCTCACACCAGAGGTTCCCCTCAGGCCAGGCTCAAGTGACCCCTAGAACCTCCTCTTTGGAGACTGCCTTCTCTGCATCTTCCCTATACCCACTCCTGCCCCTCCCCACCCCCACGCACACAGAGGAGACGAATACACAGCTACTTCCGGATTATTTTATTCACATGGCTTGGTGGGGTACAGGCACTCCTGCCAGAGAGACAGGAGCAGGCCTCCCCGCCGGCCATGGTCAGTCACCCACCTCCCAGCCCTCTTAGGGTTAGTGCTAGTTATCACACACACAACAGCGAGGGGGTAGAGAAAGGAAGGCAAGAAGGGATCCCCATCTGCCCAGGGGCTTCAGACGGCCGCAGCCTGAGCCCCCTCCATCCTGGCCGGGCCTGGAGCCCCTGTCTCTGAAAACCCCACACTGGGCAGCCGCACCCGGAATCCACCTTCTTCCTGGTCCCCACTCCCACTCCGGGCCTTGGGGCTTAGGGACACCCTGGGGAAGCGGAACTTGGGTGACTTCTCTCTGACGGGGCACTTGGGAGCTGCGTCGCCCTCCTGCCCCCGAGAGGCTTTAGAAGGGGCCGCCAGGCCTACACGTGGCAAGCGGACCCGGCCCCGGCCCCGGCGCCCCAAGGCCCCTTCCCCACTGCCCTCTTCCTCCTCCTCCTCCTCGGGGCTTGGGGAGCCTTCCCCAGTGACCATCTCACTTTGGCTGAAGCCCACTCGGGGCAGCCTGAGTTTGGGGCTCTTGGCCTTCTCACCCTCCTCGGCCCCCTCTTTGGCCCACGCCAGGCCAAACCGGGGCAGCCGTACCTTGAGCTTGTGTCCAGCCTCCCCCTCCCCGTCTGCCACCTGGTACTCGGCGTGGTTGCCCCCGGGTGGTGAGAGCTCCACGTCAGGCAGTGAGAGGCGGAAGGTACGCTCGTCCCCTGGGGGCTGCTCCTCAGCACTCTCGCCCCCCACCCCAGCTCCAGTCCCCAGTGTGGGCAACTTCAGCCTCAGCCCACCCTTGCCTGTGGCCACCTCGCCTGCCTGTGCCTCTCGGCTTAGCCCCACGTCCAGCTCAAGCTGGGGCACTGTCACGGTGGGCATCTTGAAGACACCCTCACCCACCAACAGCTCCCCACCTGCAACCTGGGCTCCAGGCAGAGACAGGGTCACCTGGGGCACCTGAACCCTGCAGCCTGCTGTGTCCTCTGCTGAAGGGGCCGTACTCTCAGCTTGCTGCCCTGGGGTACCCACCTCCCCAAAGCCGGTCAGCTCCACCTGGGGCAGGGAGATGCCCAGCGGAGGC